CCAGAGAGCCTTTTCAGTGCCTCAGCTTCCAAGCGGTAGCCACCTGGATGATGAGGAACTAGAGCGACTCAGGATTGAGAGGTGAGATAGTAAGGTAGTATGGTGCTCCGTGAGTTAGCCTGATAAATGAGGGAATGTCATGTGCCTCAGCAGGACTTTTAAGGTTCAAACAGAAGGTGAAAATACTGCAAGCTTTTTGGTTTAAAAAATCACATATGAGGCCGGGCGCGGTGGCTCAAGCCTGTAATCCCAGCACTTTGGGAGGCTGAGGCGGGTGGATCACAAGGTCAACAGATCGAGACCATCCTGGTCAACATGGTGAAACCCCATCTCTGCTAAAAACACAAAGAATTAACTGGGCATGGTGGCGCGTGCCTGTAATCCCAGCTACTCAGGAGGCTGAGGCAGGAGAATTGCCTGAACCCAGGAGGCGGAGGTTGCCGGGAGCCGAGATTGCGTCATTGCACTCCAGCCTGGGTAACAAGAGCAAAACTCTGTCTCAAAAAAAAAAAAAAAAAAATCACATATGCCGGGAGCAGTGGTTCACACCTGTATTCCCAGCACTTTGGGAGGCTGAGATGGACCTCAAGTGATCCACCCACCTTGGCCTCCCAAAGTGCTGGGATTACAGGCATGAGACACCACCCCCTGGCTAAAAATGGGTATCTTTAAATGGTAAAATCAACAAGGTAAGAGAGCCATCCATGAAAAGCAGGTAATGATGGTGAGAACCGGTGTAGGCAGGAGGTTCAGATCTTGCATCTCTACTCACAAGAACCCTGGTGCAGAGGACCACTATTTATATTGTTGCTTCTCGGGCTGGGCATGGTGGCTCACCCCTCTAATCCCAGCACTTTGGGAGGCCGAGGCGGGTGGATCACTGTGGTCAGGAATTCGAGACCAGCCTGGCCAACATAATGAAACGCCATCTCTACTAAAAATACAAAAACATAAGCCAGGCATGGCACATGCCTGTAACCCTAGCTGCTCAAAAGGCTGAGGTAGGAGGATCACATGAACCCAGGAGGTGGAGGTTGCAGTGAGGTGAGATCGTGCCACTGCACTCCAGCCTTCGTGACAGAGCAAGACTCTGTTTCATAAATAAATATAATAAATTGTTGTCTCTCTTCTCTCCCCGCCCACACATTGAATTTTGTGGATACAATCAGCCAGGCTTGACAAGTGACTGGAATGAGTGAAGGAGAGGGAAGTTGAGAATGACCACAAGCTGTGAGCATCCTCCTCACAAGGAGGTTGGGGTACCATAAATGGAGACGGGGAAGTGGGGAGAAAGCAGAGCCCAGGTGAACTCACGTTTGAGCCAGGTTGAGTTTGATGATTCTCAAATAAAGACTGGATAACCTGTAAAAGTATGCTAATTTTAGTCTACAAACTCAAAAGCAAGAAGCAAAAATGTGGAAATTTTCTGTAATTGGGAGTATGAAATTAAAATTAAGTTTGTTCTGCAAAGTAAAAGAAACCTAGTCTCCTTCAATTTGAGGTCTGTTCCATCCCTGGGAATGCACTAACACAGACCATCTTAGCTAGTTGGGTGAATAAAGAGCAAGGCTAGAAATATGGGTAAAGATCTCATTAAATATTTCAAAATAATATTCAACCACAAACCATCTGGCATAGATTGCTGAGAAGATTCAAAGTCAAAAAAAGAGATCACATCTTCCCAAATATGTTTGCTTTTGCTTAGAAAAGATATTTTGTCTGTCTTATTACAGATACACAGGAAAATTTAAAAGTGACATGTTTATTGTAAGGAAATTAGAAAATTTAGATAAGCAAAAAGAAGAAATAATTCTTTTTATAAATAACCACCATTATAACTTTAAAGCATATCCTTAAAAAAATTACATCTATGCTTTTTCTCTGACTTTAAACTATCATGTAACCAAGATAAATGAAAATATATGTCCACATAGAAATATGTACATGAATAGTCACAGAAGCATCATTCATTTTAGCCCATAAACAGAAATAAGCCAATTGTTCAGCAACAGATGAATGAGTAGAGAATATGGTACAGCAATACAATTGAATCCTATTTAGCCATAAAAAGTATTAATACATTATACTACAACATTAATGAACCTTGTAAACATGGTAAATGGAATAAATCAGACGCAAAAGTTTACACATTCTATGTTTCCATTTATATGAAATGTCCAGAAAGGGCAAATCTTAGACATCAAGTAGAGAAGTAATATTTGGGTCTGAAGATAAGAATAGGCAATGATTACAAATGGGTACAAGGTTTCATTTTGGGGTGATGGAACTTCTCTAATATTAGAATGCAGTGATGGTTATACAATTCCATAAATTTACCAAATTTACTAAAAACCACATCTGCCTAAACGGAATGAATTTTATGGAATGTAAATTACACCTCAATTAAACTGTGTGTCTATACATGTATATATAGAAGAGATATAGATAGAATATATGCATATGTAAAGAGATTCATATAGATATATACCATGGACTTCTTTCTATTCATGTAAAACTGACCTAATATCTGCTGTGATGCCCATGGAGTCAGTGAGACTGTGGATTGTAGCCATGAATGAGGCAAAGCGCATCCTACAGCGTATCCCACATACCGAGTTCACCAAGAACTAGCAAACCTTCTTCAGCTCCATGCAACTTTCTAAAGGAACCAGTGAGGCCACTACCTGAGGCCTTGCTGCATACATCAAACCCTTGGAGATTATCCTTTACCTCCTGCTTTTGTTATTGTGTGAAGACAAAACTGTATGCGCCATGTTTGTGTTTCCCCAATGGGCCCTTGGTTGTCTCTGGCTCCTCATTGCCTGCCCCATCATCATCAAAGGAGGCTCCCAGTGGCAGCAGTGCATCCAGCCCATCCAGTGGTCCAACAGATCCCTCTCCTTGGAGCTGGCATTCTATATTATCTTTATTTTAGGATGCAGGGTAGCAACTGAGTCTATTAATATTTTTCTCAATACTGTATTCCCAGGCCTGGTAAGGCTGGTAGGTGCATGATAACCTGTTGTCAGAGCAAAAAAGATGGCATAAACTGTCTTGTTATTTGAGCCTCTTTGAAACTTTTCACTGGTAGAAACACAAAAAGGATTAAAGCTCTGTCTACCATCATCTCTGCTACAAGAGACTGGCCCTCACTGCGAGGCTGCTCTGCCTGGTCTCTGAAGATTCACAAGCTTCCAGGCACAATCATATCTCTTCTAAGTCCTGCACTTACCCAAGGTCAAAAACTGTTAGATTGGTACACGTGGCTGAGTTGGGATACACCAAAATACATTCAGACAATCAGATACTGAGTTCTGGCAAAATGCAAATAGTGGTAACACTACAGCCACTTACTAAAAGCTGGGTAAAATTGTGCAGAAACCCATGAGATGGATACAAATTATCATTTGTCCATATTTATTTGATTCCTGTAAGCCAACGAAGAAATTAGCTTATGACACCAAAGACCTAGTATTTAATAAAGGGAGAAAACATTCATTTGGGAAGAATGGCGATATATTCTTTTCATTTTACATTGAATTTCTTCCCTCATTCTACAGTGAGATGTGAAGAAGTGAGAGTAAGCAAACCTTTTATAATCTATTTTATATTTTATTTTATTTTTTTGAGAGGGAATCTCACTCTGTTGGCCAGGCTGGAGTGCAGTGGCACAATCTCAGCTCACTGCCACTTCTGCCCCCTGGGTTCAAGCAATTCTCCTTCCTCAGCCTTCCAAGTAGCTGGGATTACAGATGCCCAACACCACACTCAGCTAATTTTTGTATTTTAGTAGAGACAGGGTTTCACCTTATTGTCTAGGCTGGTCTCGACCTCTTGACCTCGAGTGATCCCCGTCTCAGCCTCCCAAAGTGCTGGGATTACAGGTGTGAGCCACTGCGCCTGGCCTATGAACTGTTTTATCATCTTTAGTGTTGCATTTACTACAAGCCTGCACTACTATTTACCATATTAAGTTTTTATCTCTTTTCAAAAGGCTGATGGTCATTGGGCCAAGCTAGAGTCATTGTTCCCCAGAGGCATGGTTTACCTGAGACTGGTACTATAATCTTGGAAGAGACCTATGTTGAACTATAGAACAGGATACGTAAAATAATTAAACTGTCATTTATGCTTAGTTCTTTCTGAAAAAAGATGACCTTAGGTATCTTTTCAAATTTGGTTTATATAAAGTTGCAAAACAACCATGGCTTTAATTTCATGTCTTTTGTAATAGCAGAACTATATTATCAGAAAATTTATATAATTTATTTCTGCTAAATGTTAGAAGGCCTAGAAAGGGCACACAGAGCACACTGTAACAAATGACCAATATTAGTTCTCTCTCTTCCCCTCGCCCCTCCCAATGCCTGCTCGGAGTCATGGTCTAAAGAAACACGACCAATCTTCCAGAGAGACGGCATTGATTGTGTTGCTTTTCTATCGAAGATGAAGGATTCACTCATTTACTCTCTTACTGAGTAACAATTGTTTATAAATGCCAGGTACTGCCTCAGCTGCTGGGGAAGAGAAATGAACAAGACATGAAGACTACTATAAAGAATTCTATATTTGCATGGAGGAGATCAAACACACTGATGACAAGTTGTAATGCATTGGGATGATGAAATGGGTATCATTCTGGGAAAATAGAGTTTGGAAAGAATGGACAATGGGGTAGGGATTCCAAGAGAAGGGGCTAGCTGGACAGGTAGAATCTGCAGTTTTGGAGATGGGCCTGAAAAGTCTTTTAGGTTCAAGAGGAGAAAGCTAAACGTGCAAAAGCCCAGAGGCAGGAACTAAAGGAATTGGTGTGTGTGTATGTGTGTGGTGGAGGAGGGGGTGTTGGAGGGTACAACTTATAGTTGGAAAAGTCCATCAGGATTCGGTCATAAAAATGAGGAAGGGGAGGCTTAAGGGTATGAACTTAATTTGGTTGATATTATTAAACTTTATCAATCCATTATCACACAGCTAATAAAGACATACTCAAGACTGGGAAATTTATAAAGAAAAATGTTTAATTGTCTCACACTTCAGCATTCCTGGGAGGCCTCAGGAAACTTACAATCCTGGCAGAAGAGAAAGCAAATATGTCCTTCTTCACATGGCAGCTGGAGACAGAAGAATGAGTGCCCAGTGAAGGGGAAAGACCCTTATAAAACCAGCAGATTTCATGAGAACTAACTCACAATCACAAGAACAGCAGGGGGGAAATCACCCCCATGATTCAATTATCTCCACCTGGTCCCTCCCACGACATGTGGGAATTATGGGAATTGCAATTCAAGATGAGACTTGAGTAAGGACACAACCAAACCATATCAGGAACCTTTACAAGATTTGCAGTATGACATAGTGTACTGTGCTTCGGGAATATGGATTTGATCACTGGGTAGAATGCAACATCAAACTGAAAAACTGGGAGAGTGTTGGAGATCACCAAATTTAAGGAACGAATTAGATAGAGAAACTGAGAATACAGAGGAAGTGACTTGCCAAGAGATTGCACAGTAATTTAGGGTAAGAACCAGCAAACATTTCTCTCTTGTCTCTCTCTCCATGCTAGTCTTTTTTTTTTTTTTTTGAGACAGAATCTAGCTAGAGTGTCAATCCAGGCTAGAGTGCAGTGGTGTGATCTTGGCTCACTGCAACTACCGCCTCATGGGTTCAAGCACTTCTTGTGCCCCAGCCTTCTGAGTAGGAGGGATTATAGGTGTGTTAGGCGTGTGCTACGATGCCCAGCTAATTTTTGTATTTTTAATAGAGACAAGATTTCCCATGTTGGCCAGGCTGGTCTCAAACTCCCAACATCAGGTGATCTGCCTACCTCGGCCTCTCAAGGTGTTGGGATTATGGGCGTGAGCCACTGTGCCCGTTGCCCATGCTAGTCTTGATTGCTACTTCCAAAAGGCTGGGCTCCTCTCACTTTCCTCCTCCTTTCCGTTGGTCTGCTTGCATTCAGGCCCCATCACTTGAAGTTATCTGAAAGAGGAGGATGAGGACTTCCAAGTGAAGAGGCAACCTGTACAAACAGAGATAAACATGGGGAGGGAAGATGCGCTTGGAAAACTACTAGAAAGAGGGTGGAGGGTAGGGCACGTGAAGGCCTGGAAGAAATGAGGCTGAAGCGACAAGTATGTGCCAAATTATGAAAGTCTGTGCAAACCTTACTAGAGGCATTTGACCTGATGGCTTTTAAGCTGTCAGAGGCAACAGCAGATTGAGATTTACCTTCTAACATCCATGGCCCTCTTATTCTTATTTTACTAATAGAGTCTTCGGAGCTTATCCTCTTGGTCAACTCTAGGAGATCATAAGTTCCCTATGTTGGAGTGTTCAAACTGAGAGCAAATGGTCACTCAACAGTGGGTGAGTGAGGTGCTAGGTTGCCAGGGATCAGGGTGGAATCTCAGCTTATCTACCCTCAGCTGAGTAAGAGCTTACTCAGCTCTTAACACAGAGCTAGTACTTAACCTCTATGGGCTTTAGTTTCTTCATGGTTAAATAAAAAAAATAATAATACCAACCTCAGAAGGGGTTTTGTGAGAGTTAACTGAATCGTATATGAACAATCCTTAAAATATTGCCTGACACTCCAAAAAAATGACTAGCTTGAGCTATGCAAAGGCCATGTGTACGGACTGTACAAAGGCCATGTGTACAGGACTGTAATGGATGCAGGCAAAAGGCAAGACCTGAGCCCTGCTTGCCTAAAAATCTTTTGTGACATTACTGAACCCATGAAAATGCTGCTGGAGGCCTTTAGGCCAGTTATACCAGTGTGCTATCCTTGGACCAAATGACCCCCCAACTCCACCTGAAATTCTGTGCTTCTTTCAGCCTCTGAATTGGTAAACCAGTATTTTTCTCACACCAAGTCTCTAAATTTATACAATCTGCCCATTTTGTGTAAGCCCCTGCACATAAAAAGTTGTCACAGGAGGTTGAGAAAAGCCAGAGTATGAAAGAAACCAGAACAGGAAATGGGAATGAGGCTTTTGGTGGGGTTAGCACTAATGACAACACTGTATACGGTTCACTAAGCATCCAGATTATGACTTTGGTGCTTACCCTCCTGGAGAGTTCCTCATGAGTCAAAATTATCTTTCATAGTTAACTTTATACGATGCTCGTGCTAACACCACGCTCACCAGGCTTCTAAACAACTCACATACATTTCAGGAGAAACAGTGACTGTCTGCAACACACCCATACAACAGTTTTAACACAATTAGTAGCATTTCTGGATCCAGCACAGTACTCATAATGTATATGATGGAAGAAATGAACAACTCTAATTATTCCTTGTTAAATCTTATTAGTCCTTATTAGGACCCTATTATTCTTTATAAGTGGGTTACTGAAGAAAAAAAAAAAAGAAATGCTGGTCAAGTCTCGTTATATTCCATGAGTTTTGGGATAATCCACTTTTACTTCATGTGACACTGAAATTCTGTTCATAATAAATAGTACTCAGAATGTGAGTATGCTACAATGTTTGAGTGAACTGTGCTGTAATAGAATCTGATCTTTTTTAAACCTCAGAACAAAATCTAAGAGCTCATATCTCCCATTTCAAACTGTGTTAGTTGTAAAGAGAAAATATTTTATTATTCTGTAAAATGGGTGGTTACTCTCTATCTCATCTCTCTGCTAACTGCATTCTTTTTTTTTTTTTTTTTTGATACATTGTCTCGCTCTGTCCCCCAGGCTGGAGTGCAGAGGTGCAGTCTTGGCTCACTTCAACCTCCGGCTAATTTTTGTATTTTTAGTAGAGACAGTGTTTGGTCATGTTGCTCAGGCTGGTCTTGAACTCCTGAGCTCATGTGATCTGCCTGCCTCAGCCTCCCAAAGTGTTGGGATTACAGGTGTGAGCCACCATGCCCCACCATGTTCATATTGTTGTATGTGTACATTAGATAGTTGAGAGGAACAGGGAGGTTAGGTAATGTAAGCTTACTCCTGAAATGTCTGAATTCAAACACTTATTAAGCACAAGGAAGATGCTTAATAAATCCAATAACATGTGTTTTCACATTTCTGGTCAAAAGAATCCCACTTAAATGCATCCTCAGAAGAATTTCAACACTTTTTGGAGTTTTTATGAATAGGTAGCTCATGGTATACTTTCAACAGTTATGAATGGAATTAGGTCCTGCTAGAGATCAGGACCAGGTATGGAAAGATAAAGGGATTAGTCAGGAGACCTAGATGGGAGGAGCGGAAGTCAGGTGCTTGGGCAGTCAGTTATTTTGTGTCGGGCAAGTAACGTTCCTTAACTTTTTGCCTGAAGTGTAAAAGCGGGCCTATGCTTTGTCCTATCTAACTCACCCGAGGATACAATAACCCGGTGAGAAACTGCTTTCACGATATGCTAATATGAGGGATGATTTTAGGTATCAACAGGAGAGTAGTACAAGGGAAGGCCGTCTCAGGCATGGAGCGCTTTCCAGGCAATGGCTGCTGCACATCATAACCCCCTAAGACAGTAAGTGGTGGTTCTCATCGCCGTTCACACTTACAGTTGTCAGAGGAGGAAAAAAAAGCCAACTCAGACCTTCCAGTAACAAGCAAGTCTGTATTCAAACCAGTTCACCCAGTTCGCAGACTGTTTTGAAGCTATAAGCATAGAGCAAGCTTTCTGGGCAGGGCTCAGAAGTAAACTTTAAACTCAGGGATTCATTTATTTGTGCACAGCACAGAGGAGGAAGTTGCCCCGAAGCAACTGATTGCCATTGATATTCAGGGCTCACGGTCAACCAGGACCTTCCAGGAACTGGCTCTGGGCCAAGAGCAGTATAAGTCACTGGGTGGTCCGCGCAGCTCCTGGCTATCTAACCTGGTTCGAGCTTCGGGGCCAAAAGGGAGCCAGGGCCCTTCCTGGAGGCGGGAACCCGAGTGGGAGGCAGAGCGCCTGGGCCCGCTCCTACGTCTGTTGAGAGACGACCCTGCAGGAGTCACTTCTCTTCCGAGAGCCTCAGTGTCCTCACGTGCCAAGCGGACGGGTTGGAAGTTGGTCTTTGCCAGCTCTGACACCTTGTAAGTTTTGAGTCTTGCTGGGAATCCAGGGCGGGGCTCATGAGGAAAATCTTGGAAGGGGATTTCAGGGCTGGATCTCTCCCACTCAAGCTCGGTGCCCTAATTTGACGCCTTAATAGGAGCCGCAGGTTTTACCGTTTCTCCTGGAGCCCCCAGACGCGGCCGCTTCCTCCTACGTCTCCTTCCTTTTCCTCTAGCAGAGGCAAAGTCTCCACATCTCCCTCTTTCCCTTCCTCCTTTGCAAGCTCCCTGCATTCCCGCGTCTCCTCCTCTTCCTCCCAGGAAATGCAATGCCCTCCGTGCGCCCACCTTTTGGCAAAGCCACCGCCGGCTGCGGGTTTCCCCTCCCCCCGCCAGGCGAGCTCTGCGCGGCGGCCCAGCGGGCACACGCCTTCCCATACCTTACATGGACAAATGCGTGCAGGCAAAGTCAGGAATTCAGGCCCCTGACGTCAGCCTCCAGCGTTCAGGGCACCGCACTGGAGACCGAGGGGAGGGGGTGGGGACGGTGGGGAGGAAGGAGGGGGAAAGGCACCAACCAGCAGCCGCTCCAGCCCTGCCGAAGTTTCACTTTTTGTCTGTGGGTTCGTTCCCGGGTCCCGCGCGAGCTTTCCTGGGATAAGTAGCTTTAGCGACCGGGGGAGAACCCGGCGCTGCAAGGTAAGGGCTGGCTGCACGGCGCGGGGTCCGGGGCCCGGGGCGCGGGGCGCGGGGCGCTGGGCGCGGGCGGCGCGCTTGAGGAGGCCGGTGCGGGGTGCGGGGCCGAGCCTGTCCGGGGCTGGGGACAATGGGAGGGGGAGTGCCCGGGCACCTCCTCCTCTGCCTCTGCCTCCGCCTCCAGCCGCCGCCGCCGCCGCCGCCGCTGCCGCCCCGGCTGCCTCCTCCCAGAGGTATTGTTGCAAATCCTTCCTTCCCCTCTCCCTCCGCCCGCGGGCGCCTCGGGAACCCCCAGCCCTCCCCCGGCGCGAGCGCCTCAGGGGTGGCTGGAGCGCGGCGCGCGTGCCCTGCTCTGGCCTGGCCCGGCCCGCTGTGCGGAAGTGTCGGCCGCGGCCCAATCACGGGGTGCACGCCATGGGGGAGGGGGGCGCAGAGTTTTTCGGACAGCGTGGACCCCAGGCTAGGCGGGGTTGGAGCCTTGCGCGCCCCCTTCCCGGACTTTTCTGGGCGCCCAGGGGGCGGGGCCACGCCCATTCGCTTAGAGCTTTCGCGGAATCGCAGTTGTCACCGCGGAAAGGGCCTAGACGCAGCCAACCAAGTCCTCCCATTTTACAGTTGGGGCGGCTGAGGCCCAGAGAGAAGCAGGGTCGCCCCCAGGTTGTTTACCAGAGGCCAAGCCGTAATTCAAATACTTGGCTCCGGACTTGAGTTCGCTTTCTCGAAGCATTTCTCTCGCTCCCTGTGTGTGGCAGGCACTGAGCTGGGTGTGTAGGACGTTGCCCTCAAGGAAATCTCAGCTGAACCTAGGAGTCAAACCTGGTCCAGCGTGGAAAGTGCTAAGTGCTGGAGGAAAGGCATAGACAAAGTTAAAGGAAGTTGCGGGGAAGGGGTTTGATTTTCTGGTCCCTGGGACGGCCCTTTGGAAAGTCCTGCACTTAATGGGGCTTTTGAAGGATGAGGAGTTTCCTGAAGCTAGCCAGCGGCTTGGAGGAAGACATCTCTTCCAGGGAACTGTGGGCCAGAGAAGATGAAGCAGCGTGGGAAATGGAGATGAAAGTATACATGTTGTTTAGTTGGAGGCAAGAGGTTGGAGGTGGGGGAGGTTGTGACATAAGTTGAGCTAATCAGTGGAATTGTGCCTGGGTGCTTGGATAGGGCAGAGTCTTTGGAACCTCAGAAAAAGGACCGAAAAATCTCTCTGGCTGCCCTTCCCTTGGAAGGGATCCAGTTTTCCCTTCCTCAGCACAAAACAACCAGTGAGAACTCAGGGTCTTCTTTGAGCGCTGTTACTTCTACCAAACTCACTTAACTGTGTTTTCAGTCTCCTTTCTCTTTTTACTCCTTCCCCTTTTTCTGCAATTCTTGCCTTTCCTGAAAAACTCATTCTCACTTAGGTGTTAGTGACTTAATGGCTTACCTTTCCCTGCATATGGGCATTTTAAGAAAGCCTAAAGTGAAGAAAGGGAAAGTGTGGATAGGCACCTTTAGAAAACATCTAGCTCCCTCTTCCATCCTCCCCCTACCTCAACTCTTAATACACACAGTAGGCAAAGGTGGTTGCTACTCCTAGAGCCTAGGTGAGTAATGGTGGACAGCAGGGGGCTAGGACAGCCAGTAGGGCTTTCTCCACCTCAGCGCCAGTTTTTCTGCTTGCATAGTTCCTGCCAGAACCAGGGAGCAGTTAAAGGAAAGAGTATGTGGGCATGGTGTGGTAGCTAACGCCTGTAATCCCAGCACTTTGGTAGGCTGAGGCGGGCAGATTGCCTGAGCTCAGGAGTTCGAAACCACTCTGGGCAACATGGCAGAACCCGGTCTCTACTAAAAATACAAAATATTAGCCAGGCATGGTGGTGGTTACTTGTAGTCCCAGCTACTCGGGAATCTGAGGCAGGAGAATTGCCTGAACCTGGGAGACGGAGGTTGCAGTGAGTTGAGATCATACCACTGCACTCCAGCCTGGGTGACAGAGGGAGACTATGCCTCAAAAAAAAAAAAAAAAAAAAGAAAAGGTAAGTGTGTATTTTTGCATTTAGCTTCTGCAATGCAGCCCCCAACCCCAACACCAAGCCTTTATAGTCTAGAATGTAGGCTCCAGATGGGATTTTCCTAATCTGAATGGTAGGGGTAAAAGCCTGGGGCCTTCTGGTCAGGCGATTCCCCCAGAGGCAGGCTGTCTGTAAGCAGCATGGGCTTAGAGTTGGTTTTGAGTGTAGGCAGAGGGAGAAGCCAAGCTGATGAGCTGCATGCTATGGCTGGGACTTGAGTAGGATCTTTCTTGGAATGACACATTCTGGTGAAGACAGTTCCAGGAAGCAACAAACAGGAGAGGTAACTTGGTTGTAAAGGGCCTTAAAAATGCCAGGCTAAGGAGTCTGCATATATCTTAAAGTCATCATTTGATGGTTTTGAGCAGGCTGGGACGTGATTTAGAGGGGAGCTACTGGGGTTGGGAAGCCTCCTGCCACCCAATTCTAATGCGAGAGGTAATAATTTGGCCTAAGAATATTATTGGCTGGGTGCGATGGCTCATGCCTATAATCTCAGCATTTTGGAGGGTCGAGGCAGGTGGATCAGCCTCGTCAACATAGTGAAACCCTATCTCTACTAAAAATACAAAAATTAGCCAGGTGTGGTGGCATGTGCCTGTATTACCAGCTGCTTGGGAGGCTGAGGCAGGAGAATCACTTGAACCTGGGAGGAGGAGGTTGCAGTGAGCTGACATTGTGCCATTGCACTCCAGCCTGGGAAACAGAGCAAGACTCCATTCCCCTGGCCCCCCAAAAAGAATATTATCAATTGGTTCTTGTTCATTTACTTGACATAGGTTACTGAGTACCAATTATGTATCATTGGCAAATATGAAAAGCTTATAGCAGGTTCCTGTATTTTTTTTTTTTTTTTGAGACGGAGTTTCGCTCTTGTTACCCAGGCTGGAGTGCAATGGCGCGATTTTGGCTCACTGCAACCTCCGCCTCCTGGGTTCAGGCAATTCTCCTGCCTCAGCCTCCTGGGTAGCTGGGACTATAGGCACGCGCCACCATGCCCAGCTAAGTTTTTGTATTTTTAGTAGAGACGCGGTTTCACCATGTTGACCAGGATGATCTCGATCTCTTGACCTCATGATCCCCCTGCCTCGGCCTCCCAAGGTGCTGGGATTAACAGGCTTGAGTCACCGTGCCCGGCTGGTTCCTGTATTTTATTGAGACAAATAAGTTGTATTCAGTCAATTCTAAAAGACACTTTTTCACATTTTAATATCACTGAAATGTGGTTGTCTTATAATCACAATGTGCCATAGTTGTGTGGCTTTTTTTTCATTCTAAGTTGGTAATGGCACATCTTAGAGTCAACGGCTTAAATTTGATAAAATTGTTAATCATGTCTTTTATGACTGTACAGTGCTTTGCACTTTATAAAACAGTTTCCGATCAGATATTTCATTTGAATCTAGGTCCCCTGAAAATTAGATCCAGTGCTGCTGCCACCTTCATTTTAACCCTTGCCCAAGGTCACGTAGCTAATTAGAGATGTGCTCAAAATTACAGCCCAGAACTTTTGCATCCTGGTGATGACATGTGACTTTACCCTGCTGTGGAGCTGGCATGGGTTAATTGGGAATGGGGCAAGAGCTAGGTCGGATTTGATTTCAGAACTATGCTTGAGATGCTGGAATGATGGGGTTTTTGTACATGGGCCGAGTGTAACTTGTGAGAACAGGGTAGCCTCCTTAGCCCAGGGATTTGCTGCATTAAACAGAAAAAAAGACGGAGATAGAAAATGGCAGGTAATATGGTAAAACCAGGGGTTGGAGCCTGCTTCCAGTGAAG